TTTCTCTGACTTATAGGTGATTTAAGGAAGAAATTTTAGGTGAAAGAGTTTAGGAGACCGAGGGAAGGTAGAAAGATGCTATATTCATCAGCGGAAATGAAGATTGAATTTAGTCAGGAGAGATGCCATGAACATTATTTGATTTTACGTCATAGAATATTTACAACTTTACATAATATGCATGTGTAACTTTACATAATAATTTTACAACATATTTGTAGAAAGAAGTGAGCAAGGAGAAAACTTACAGTACATTTATGTTTATGTTGTGCCATGTATTCTGTGAACGATGAAACTAAGTTTGTTAATTTTAGGCTTATGAAACTAGTCAAATTGAACTTCAAAAGTTAGTTGAAAGAGATGAACTTGGGAACCGACTCACACCATTATATATGACTAGTTGGTTTTAGATTGGTGAATCGTGCAACTCCATTATTGACTCCTTACTGTTTGCCCCCAATCTATTGCCATGACATTTTGACGATCCTTGTAAATGATTGCTTTGTTGCATATGCACATGCATTTGAACGAATTATATACTGGCAGGAGCATGAAGTTCATCTCTTCTGCTTGGAATGGTTGAGTGTGAAAATTTTATTGTTCATTTTCTGATTTCTTATTATTTTGTTACAGAAAATGGTTAATGGTGGGACCGTGAACAACTGGATCTGCATAAATTTTTCTCGGCAAGTCCAAGATGGTGTGGCACGAGGGTTTTGCTATGAACTTGCACAAATGTGTTATATTTCTGGCATGGTGAGGGAGTTGCAGTAATATGATATTAGTCTGTCTTTTTTATCTCTGTTTGGTTATGGTTGAACAATTTTCATTTTGAAAAGGATTTCTGTGAACATTTATATTTGTGTCATTTGCAGGCTTTTACTTTTGAACCTGTGCTTCCTCCAATTAGTGCTCGTCCTGAGCATGTTGAAAAGGTCTTGAAAACACGGTATCATGATGCTATGACTAAACTCCAGCCCCAGAACAAAGAGCTTGACCTGCTTATTGTTATTCTTCCTGATAATAATGGCTCTCTTTACGGTATAAATTTTGCTGTTTGAGATTCTTTTCTCTTAAAAAAAAGGTTCATACCATCCTTTGAAATGTTCTATTTCCCTTGCAGGTGATTTGAAAAGGATTTGTGAGACAGATCTTGGAATTGTTTCTCAGTGCTGTTTGACTAAACATGTATTTAGAATGAGCAAACAATATTTGGCCAATGTGGCATTGAAGATTAATGTCAAGGTTGGAGGAAGGAATACAGTTCTTGTTGATGCAATATCACGACGAATACCTCTAGTCAGTGACCGTCCAACTATAATTTTTGGTGCTGATGTTACCCATCCTCACCCTGGGGAGGATTCAAGCCCTTCTATAGCAGCGGTATGCTTTTTATCTGCTATTGATGCTTGCATTTCATTGTCTCTATTCTTGGCTTCTTTGATATTTTAACGGTTAATAAAATATTTAATTAAACATTCAGGTTGTTGCCTCCCAAGATTGGCCAGAGATTACGAAGTATGCAGGTCTGGTTTGTGCTCAAGCTCATCGCCAGGAACTCATTCAAGATTTATACAAGACATGGCAGGATCCTGTAAGGGGGACTGTGTCTGGTGGCATGATTAAGTATGGTTTTCTCCATCTGCTTCTTGTTTGAACTCCATTTAGCCTCTGGCAGTTATCAACTGGAGCTTGTCTGAACATTTTTTGTTTCGTGGTAATGCAGGGAGCTCCTAATATCTTTCCGACGAGCCACTGGACAGAAGCCACAGCGCATCATATTCTACAGGCATAGTCAAGCTTCTGTATTTTGTATTCTTTCCCCCTAGTTTTATTGATTTATTTTCTATTATCTATTATCTATTTTCTATTTGTAGGGATGGCGTTAGTGAAGGCCAGTTTTATCAAGTTTTGTTGTATGAACTTGATGCTATTAGAAAGGTAGGGCTCCTATGCTGACTACATACCACCAGTCATTGTCCATCAGTTTTTAGTGTCAAAGCTCTGCATCTGATTCACTCACTTTTCAATTAACCGTTTACTTATTTAACCTCAGGCATGTGCCTCTTTGGAGCCAAATTATCAGCCTCCTGTTACTTTTGTTGTGGTACAAAAGCGACATCATACTAGGTTGTTTGCTAACAACCATAATGATCGCAATGCTGTTGACAGGAGTGGCAATATTTTGCCTGGTAAATACTATTCAGTTGTTATAATTTACTACGATTTCACTATCGAATTATAATATCTTTTTCACAATGCTGTTGACAGGAGTGGCAATATTTTGCCCGGTAAATACTATTCAGTCGTTATATACTACGATTTCACCATCGAATTATAATCTCTTTTATTCTCCTGTATGTATTTTGCAGGCACAGTGGTGGACTCCAAAATCTGTCATCCAACGGAGTTTGACTTCTACTTATGCAGCCATGCTGGGATTCAGGTCATACTTGATTTGCTTCTTGATTCTTTACTAGAAAATTTTTTTTTTTGATTGATTTGATAGATTATTAGGTTGTAGTTTGTGTTTATAATATTTTATCCACCTTGGTAAACAGGGTACAAGCCGGCCAGCTCATTACCATGTGCTATGGGATGAGAACAAGTTTACAGCTGATGCATTGCAGTCTCTTACAAACAACCTTTGCTATACGTATGTTTCTTGCCTTGATGTTAATAAATTCAGTCTCTATATTGCCACGATTGCTTAGATGAGTGGTATGTGGCATTGCATGTAAATACTTCATCTTTTAAATATGTTTCAATAATTTTGTATATATAATAAGCACAACTGTTTCTAAAATATGAAGTTTGAAGCATAAATAAGTGAAAATTTATAGTTTTAATTTAGAGGTAATTTAATATTATTACAATTGAAAATTTTATCAGCTATAGCAATTCAATATAAACAATAATGCTCTTATTAAAATATATACAATAATACTGTTATAAAAAAGGTGATGACAAATTATTTCTTTTATCAATTGTAAATAAATTTCTGCTATGTTGGAAGCAAATCTCTTTTATGAAATTTACTTAATATAATCAGAACTCTTTTCTTATCTATGATATAAATCAAACTGTTATTAATTGACAGTTATAATTAAAAATTTAACGACTTGTAGAAAATATAGTAAGGATTGTTAATTTTTGTCCAATTTTTTTTGTTTCCTTTGAGGTGTACACCGCCTTCCTTCCAAGTTGGAGGCAGTAATACGAGTTAGTATGTCTACTAATTTTCACTTGTTGCAGATATGCAAGGTGCACGCGATCTGTGTCCATTGGTTAGTTCCCTTTACGTTAATCCTATTACTAATGCGAGTTTGAATGTTGTCAACTAGTTTCTACACCCACCCTCTTTGTGTTTTTGTTTTTTTGGTCTTATATTGTGATTTACCTATGAAACTAATAACTGTGCAGTTCCCCCTGCATATTATGCTCATCTTGCTGCATTCCGAGCTCGTTTTTATATGGAACCGGAGACTTCAGACAGTGGATCAATGACAAGTGGCACAGCTGCAGGGCGTGGAGGCATGAGTGGAGGTGCAGGTGCACGAAGCACAAGAGGACCCGGTGCTAGTGCTGCTGTGAGACCTCTGCCAGCCCTTAAGGAAAATGTCAAGCGGGTTATGTTTTACTGTTAGGGGGTGCTGCCTTTATCATACTTCTGACCTATTTATATATATTTCATGGTATTTTGAACAATTTCTACCTTGTCGGGTTTTGCTTGTATTGGATTAAACCAATCGTTTTTCAGGACCATTAAGCTTTTATTGTGTTTACTTTTGTTGACTGGTTAACTATGTTAAATTACAGATTAATGATCCATTAGTAACCATTAATCATGTCTCCTCTTTAAGCTATGAGCCATGAGCTTTTACATTAATATTTTACTTTTTTTAAACATATAATAAAATGTGCAATTATTGCCATCAATTATAAGGTTTGATGATAAAGTTTTGGATTTTTAATTTTAATGGTTAGAGATCAAATTTTAATAGCTTCGAATGTTAAAAAAAATGTAGTAGTATTAAAAATATCCTTGAAAATTATTTAAGTTCAATACTACAAAGTAATTAAAACACAAAATAATACAAAACTTAACAATAATTAAACATCTTTGTTTAATGAACTTAAATAGAACTTTGTTCTCAAAGGAGTCTTCCAAAAGTAACAATCCATATGGTAATAGTGAATGACTCGTCTCCTAATCAAAACGTTTTACTCCTTTCCTTCTTAGATTCTGTCAGGGAACCATATATAGGTGCAATGCTGTCCAAGTTCAAAGAATATAATGGTTAATCAAGCCTAAAGGTTGGAAGTAGGAGTGTAATTTCTAAAGGCTGTGCATGCGTTTGACTCGTCTGCAGTTCTGTGGAGAGTTATAGTCTATTTTTATCAAGTTGTCAGGCGCATTTTGTCAAAATTAAGTCATGGTGTAAGACGGGAAAATTTTTTTTATGTAGATTAGAGAATCTCAATTGCCACTGCCAAGAAGAGCTCCAGAATCCTTTTAATTTGGACTTCTAACGTCTTAAATTGAGGCCAATCCCTCCGTCACTTTGAGATTACGATTTGAGACTAACCACCTACTAATTTGTACTCAATGTAACTAGAGGCAAGAATAAAAAAGCTTTGCCATCAGCCAGTGAGATGTTTGTAATATGCGGAATTTTTACTTTCAGATTTAATTGGAATTTAATTTTTGATAATTTTAAATATATAAAAAAATATTAATGCATGAATAACTTTTAAAATATAATGAAATATTTAATGTAATATTTGAATTTTAAAAATTTTTAATATAATATAATATTCACCCCTAATATAAATAATTTTAAATAATAATACATAATAAATAAATAATCCTTTAAGTATCGCATTAATTAACTTATTCATTATTAGACTTTTAAATTTGCAAACCATATTGAATATTTTACCATATAGTTATTCAAAAGAAAATATATAGTTGCTGCCCTGAATAAATATTAGGAACTCAATAGTCTGATCTTAACGAGTTAAGATGACTTTTTTTTATATATACACACTGAATATTGTGAGTCTTGAACCGTTCTGTAGAGCCTTATAAATTACAACACATCTATTTGGCTGAAGAAAAAGAAGCGTACGAAGAGACAGAATTGTACGAGAAGATTTGAAGAATGAAATGACCATATCTCCTATGCCAAGTTATTTTGTATCCATGTTAACGTGAAAAATGCATGATGAAGACATGCTCTCATGATTCTGTGAAGGAATCAATGCCATGGAGTTCATAACCCTCCAGTACTCTCCTTTCCTTTTCTTCTCATCTCCATAGATACATTTCTCTTCTCTTTTAATTTGTTCAATGCCGGCACCTTCTGATGAGTTGGAAATTGAAACTTTCCTCCAATTACACCAGATTCTTAACATGATATAAATCATCACCAAACATATAACTGTGGAAGTGAAAACAATGGCCACTATAATACAAATAACTGCAGTGCTCGACAGACTGTTCTTTTCATGACCCGCTGAATCCATGCACGATGATAATGGTGGGCCGCATAGCTTATCATTACCCCAGAAAGAACTAAGTGGGAATCCTGAAAAGGTAGAAGGAAGTTCTCCTTGAAGATGATTATTTGACAGGTTTAGCATGTCGAGGCTAGTCAGTTTTCCAAGTGAAGAGGGAACTTCTCCTTGAAGTTGGTTGAAAGACAGATTTAATCTTTCCAATTTCAAAAGATTTCCAAGAGATGATGGAATCTCACCAGACAAAAGATTTTTGCTAAGATCCAAGATCACTTGTAGTTCAGTTAGCTTTCCTATCTCAGATGGTATTGAACCTGTGAGGAAGTTTTCTGAAAGTCTCATTTCATAGAGCTTCTTGCATTGCTGGATCGATGGAGGAATAGAACCTGAAAGATTGTTCCTTTGCAGATTGAGGACATTGAGAGAAGTGAGTTCTCCAATCTCCTGTGGGATCTCGCCGGAGAGATTATTGGTATGAAGAGAAAGCTTAAGCAATCTTGAACAGTTTCCAAGCTCGGCCGGAACCTGTCCGTGGAAATTATTGGAAGAAAGATGTAGCTCTCCCAGTTCTTGTAGGCTCCCCAACCAACTAGGCATCCTGCCTGTGAATTGGTTATTGTTAAGAAGAATGTGCTGAAGTTTTCGACAAGTAGAGAGTCGAGATGGCACTTGTCCCGTTAAATGGTTGAAGGATAAATCGAGAAAAGTGAGCTCCTTGAGTTGGCCTAATTCTGAAGGAATGTTGCCAGTGAGATGATTATTTGCCAGGCGGAGACGGTGTAGATTTTTTGAAATGGACAGCCTGGAAGGAATGCTACCTGAGAAGCTGTTGTTTGTTAAGTCCAAGGCAGTCAAAAAACTGGAACCTGTGAGGGGAAAGATGGTGCCACTGAACTTATTGTGAGAAAAATTGATTATTTTGAGCTTTCTCAGAAAGGTGAGTGATTCAGGTAGAGGACCTTCAAAGGAGTTGTTGTAGAGCGTAATGGTACTCAGTTCAGAAAGGAATCTGAATGTTGCAGGCAAGACCCCTGATAGTTTATTATCAGCTAAAGCCACCTGCTGCAGCTTTTTGCAGTAGCCCAAACTTGGTGGAATTGGACCTGACAAGTCATTCTGCCTTAGTTGAAGCAAAACTAGATTTTTGAGCTTTCCAATCGTTTCAGGAATAGAACCACTGAAGTAGTTCCCAAAGAAATCAATAGCAGTTAAGCTTGTGCAATTTGTTAACTCTATTGGTATAGTTCCAGACATCTGGTTATCATAGAGGTAGATGGTGCTCAAACTCTGCAGTTTGCCAATCTCCACTGGAATTGAACCTGTGATCGTGTTGTCAAAGAGATAAAGATTTTCCAAGTTACTCATGTTTCCAATTTCAGGAGGAAGACTTCCGCTGAAGCTGTTGTTATTGAGCAGGAGATCTGTAAGGTTCTCTAATTTGTCGATGCTAAGTGGTAACTCTCCTTCAAAATTGTTGTTGGAGAGATCTAGTTGCTGGAGTGAGAAGCAGTTCAGCAGCTCCAAAGGGAATCCTCCAGAGAGCATATTTTGCGCTAGAAAAAGTTGTTGCAAATTAGAATTCTCAAGGCAAAAGTTATTGGGAATGCTACCTGTCAAAGCATTGTTAGACAAAACTAGAACTTCAAGAGTCTGCAATTGAATATTAAACAGGTCTATGCTCCCTGATAGGTTGTTACTGGACAAGTCAAGCTTCCGGAGCTGAACCAAATGGTTTAGTTCCGAAGGAATTTCTCCATTTAGTCTATTTCCAAGCAAATTCAAATACTGCAAATTGGAAAGACGACTTATCTCAATAGGAATCATTCCAGAAAGGCTGTTATTGGCCAAGTTCAAAATTTGCAGCGAATTAAGCTTCCCGATGGAAGCAGGGATTTCTCCATCAAGGTTGTTGTTTGATGCAGCAAAATTTTGAAGCTCTTCACATTCATGAATCTCTGTTGGAATGAGGCCACTGAGACCGTTCTGCTGCAAATCAAGAGATACCAGATTCTTCAAGTTACCAATCTCTGCAGGAATACTTCCATTTAATTGGCAATACGCAAGACCCAGCACCCTCAACTCAGTCAAGTTCCCAATATTTGGTGGAATTTGACCAGCCAACATGTTATCTCCAATTCTAAGAACTTGCAACTTCTTCAAAAGGCCAATCTCTGGAGGAATTTTACCAGAGAAATTATTTGAATATAGAAGCAGTGTCCTTAGATTTTGAAGCTGTCCAATTTCAGGAGGAATTGAGCCAGTGAGAAAATTCATAGATAAGTCAAGAGTTTCAAGAGAAACGAGGTTCCAGAACTCACGCGGAATGGAACCTGACAATCTTGAAGCAGATAGGTTCAAACCAATGACATAAGCTTCATCATCTGAACATGTCAGGCCATTCCAGCTGCATATATGAGCTCCGGGAGACCAGCTTTCGAGAACTCCTGCAGAATCAACTAGTTTCGACTTAATTCTCAGAAGCCAGTAGGAATCTGCTGAACTATCCCCAAAAGTAACCGCGAGAACAGAAGTAAGGAGTGTAAGGAACAGAATAAAACGGGACATCCTAATTCTATCCATTTCAAAATGGTGACCAGGTTCAGTTCCAACTACCAAACCAAAGCATCAGATACCAGATGTTGTGGCTTCTGTACTGCAACTATTGGCACTTGATTCCATGTCTAAAAGAGAAGGCCAGAACAAGCAAGAAAAGTTCAACTGAATCAACGTGGCTAAAAGAAAAGGAACAGAAGACGAGGGAATGTCAACGGACAATGGAATATCAAACAGGTTTAAAGAGTTGGAACTTGGAAGCTTGGAGTATAAATAGTTATTGAAGTAGGCATGCCTAATCAGTTTAAACATAAACGTTATAATAGTAGTTTATCAAACAGTAATAAGCCCTCCCAACCCATCAATTGAAACAGTAATTAAGCTGGTAGCCACAAAATTATCTTAGAAGACAGCCGTCTCTTTAAGAATTGCCAAAAGAAATGGTGGTTTTTGTTTTCTCCTTTTGCTCTCTAGGCAATTATGGAATCTTGAAGCTAGTGAGACAGGGCATCGTATTCATATACAATTACATAGAGATAAGATGGAGTGATGGGTATGTTGAAGAACGAAAAGGTAGGCAGTAGAAAACTAACAAGTGGGCCTCTCCCTGGACTCTACTTGTCAGATTTAGATTGGAGATTGGCTAGCATGGAAATGGGGCAAATAAATAAGAACAATTCTCATATCCCGTCAAGAGAAAAAATATATTTTAAAAAATATGAATTTAATATCATAAATTATTGTTAAATTATAATAAAATATTTAATTTAATCTATAAATTTTAAAAATTTTTAATTTGATATTTAAATTATAAATATATTAATTAATATGATATTTATCTGTAATATAAATAATTTTAAATAATAATATATAATTAATTTTAAATAATGATATGTGATAAATAAATAATTTTTTAAATATTTTATTAATTAATAAATTTATAATTTATATATCAATTTTAAAAATTTAAATATTATACTAAACATATCATTATAATTTAAAAATTATTCATGATATTAATCAGTCAGAAATATACGTTCCAAAAATAAAGTAAGATTTGACTTTATGATGCTTAGAGACAGTGTCAAATTGGCTTCAACTATTGTCAACAAAATTGGTGTAAAACCATTATGGTAGTGAAATTATAGGATGATCCAAAGAAGCATAAAGGACCATAAGCGTGCAAACTGAATGGACCAGTTGGCCCGGCAACTGATATCATTTGAATCATTGAAACAACGGATACATGTTATCATCATCATCATGAACTGATTGAATGGCTCAGATTAGCTTCTCCTCTTGGGTTGCATACTGCCTCAACTAAATGCAAGTATACGTCTATTCTGTACTATGTTTCTTAATGCCTTTCGCATTTTGGTTCTGTTTTTGTTCAGTTGATAAAAGAGAAGAGTTTTTTTTTTTTGGTCAACAGAAATTCGATTGTCAGGTGTTTCAACTTTCCAGAGTAAAATCTTGAAAGCAAGCCTATATACGGCAGCACTCTCTTAAGATGGTTCAAGAAAGAGATTAGGTCCAACAAACCCCGAGGATGCCCCGTCTGTATTTTACAAAAAATCTACACTTCAGATGATATCAGTCTCGTTACTCTCCACCTAAGCCACCAAATACCAGCTTCAAAATACAACAAGAAAACAAAAGAGAATAACAACCACAATGATTTTTGCAGTAGAGACAGGCTCAATTGATCGTTATTCAAACCTAAGATGGGACTGAGACATGTGAAGGATTGGTGTTATACATCCAAGAAATGTGTCCATTGGCCTGATTGGGTTTTATTAAATCGAAAGAGAATTACATCATTATATTCAAAGGATTGTAATGACCGACACCTAAATGTAAATTAATGGAAGGATTCTGCTCAAGAAGAAACAAAAAGTAAAGGACAAAGAAGTTCACTAACTGTGTTTCTGATAGAGAATACTGCACGCCAGGGCCTGGCTTCCAGTTTTAGCTTTAGATTCTCACTTTGCTTATTTTCTCAGTATTCAAGCAGAGACAATCAACATGGATGGGAAATCCAACATGTTTTGTCCCATCAAAAAGCCCAGACAACTGGACAAGAAAACAAATTACTATTTACCTACCTGGACCATTTGTTTGTTACCCAAGTGCTGTTTTCTAATCTTTTGCTTTTGCTTTTGCTAAGAAGAAAATCTCCGATAAGCCATTTCATTAGACATGGAAAATGTTGAAAACGGCCACAGCCAACTTTACACACATACACTCACTCACACACAATAACGCCCCCCACTCCCAGCGCGCATAAATAAATATATATATATATATATTTATTTATGAGGTTAAGAGGATTCCAACTGAACTCAGAAAAAAACAAATATAAGCTCGAGTCGAATGCTAAAGGTGCATTTGAATCAATAACGCTTGAAATACGTTTGCTTCCTTCTTTCTCAGATCAATCACCATTTTCATTTTTTCAACACATCATATTCAAACAATAGAGGCCACGTAGCAAGAATGACAACTGTGTTTGACAAGGAAAATTTCTATTATCATCTAAATAAATGGCTCATCCTAGAATTTCTTTGACCCACAATTTGTTTATGAGACATATATTCCATTGTCAACCTAATCTCAGCATCTTCCCAGTGGATTGCTGAAATACTACTTAATCTGGAGTTTATACGGAAAATCCCATTGGGTATTTAAGCTATCACCTCATTGAGACCCAAAAGGCAACAAAAATGATGGAGGAAATACAGCCAAGGGAGACGGTGAAGTATTAATAAATGATTATATTGAAAGTAATAATTAAGGCTCCAGTCAACTCCACCCCACCGGGAAAAAAAAAAGGGGTATATATATTTATTTTATATAAATGAAATTGTAATTTAAAAAATAATTAAAATTATTTAATTTTAATTAAAAAAATTGTAACGTGAACATAAAAGATTACACATACTGAAATTTAAAACTCAAATTTGTTAACTATTACTTCTTAAAAATATTTATAAGAACTAATTGAGTTAAATTTCAAATTTAAAATTATTATTTGATTTAATAAGAAGAGAATCTCATTTTATAAAATTCCCCCCCTCAAGGGGTGAACATTTTGACAGGGAAAATGGAAAATAGTTCTATCCACCTAAAATATTATTAGTATGTGATTAGATTAGAAGCTTATTGTATGTAATCTACTGAATTATTCGTCAGAAAGACTTTGCTTGATTACTAAAACCTGAGGGGATATCAGCTTTGGTTTGCTAACCACGTGTTTATCGTCCTGGTTTCAATTTCACACCCAACTCTTTCTAATACGGCTATGCCTACCTAGGCAAAGTAACAAGAACAGGAAACAATGGCAGAGAATTCAGACTCAGATTCCTAAAACTGGAAAAATAGATATCTCCACAAATCAAATAAAACAACTTTAAAACAACTTTCACAGGCAACATGTGAAAAATTTTCCATTCAATAAATAGTACATCCAACTGAGATTCGTACATAACAAATTTCAGATGTGTTATGTAAAAACTCCCAATTAAAACTCAATTAGCAGTGTACCCTGCCTTGATAACTCTATATGACCTTCAAAGTTCAATTACCACACATAATAACCTTTTAAGAACACTAAGTTTTGTTCATAAATATGTTGAAAAATCAAATGATGTGTGGTTATTTTATGTTCATATAACCAACATCAAGTGTTCTTAAAAGGTTACTATGTGTGGTTGCTCTTCACCATTTACATTTTCCTCTTATTTTCTCAGGTTATGCTCGCCTTTGATCTAGGTGGAAAGACGGAGGAGGGAATCAAAATAACAAGAAAATCTGCTGTCCATCCCCTGAATAACCTAGGTGACCTTTCTTACCCTTCTTTCATATAACTGCATGTTTCACTTGGTTCACTTGGTTGCTAAGCGGCTTAGTATCAAATATAAGTGCAGAGAAAAGAAGGAAAATGAAAGAGGAAGTCTCAATTCATGAAATTGCACTCACCTGTTGGTAAGGAGTCCTCAAATATTGTTGAAAGTATTCTACATAAATAAAGCAAAGAGAAAATGAAAGAGGCCACAAGGGCAGCAGACCAATAAATCATGGCAAGCTGCTCTGATTCTGCTGCACATTAGAAATGACTTCATCGTCTCTTTTGTATGGGAGATTGTAAAATGAAATGAAACCTGGTCTTCCATCAGTTCCCTCAAAATGAATAGATGATAAGCCAACTGGAGTGATATCTTCATGACCAAGATGGTCAGTTAAGTGACATCCAATTTACATCAGGAGATTGGGAAGATCTGCAATGCTCTATATGTAGGGATCTAAACCCATATTTGTGAGGCATTTTTTGTAGGACAAAACTGTGAGGTAAAAACAGACAATACCTCGTAAGTTGGGTGCGAGTCTACACAAAAAATGTTTGTTTCACAAGTATGAGTTTAAATCTTTACTTTTATATCATGGCAGATCCTCATAACATCAGGATGTGGGATTGGAGTACCACAAGCTAACAGTTCTGAATTGTCAAGTTTGATCTCAATGTACTGAGATTGGTCTTTAAAAGTAGTTTTTATAGTTTGTCTCCTTAGAAACCCTGTCAACTTCAGCACTACATGTAAGAAGTGGCATAAAGTAAAAACTCATCACACCAGTCAAATTTCAAAATCATTGCTAATATGACCTAATCAAATTGCTCTTCTAAAATCTAATATGGAGGATAATCTGAACCTGTAGCTATAGTCAACTAAAATAAAGAGGCAGAATATGTTCAGATTTAGGCCCAGTTACACCTTAGAACAAATCGCTTCAAGGGTGTTAGGAATGGTTACTTTCCACATCTTGAAACATATGTCATGCAATAAGTGAATCATATGCCATGCAAAAAGAAGGGCTGAATATTTTCAAATTTTAGAGATTCATATGTCATGCTACAATTAGCAGAAGCTACTTTTAGCATTTCTATACGGCTCAGTCCTCTCTTGCTGGTCATTTTACGGTCTTCTTAATAAGATCAGCTGGACTGCAAAACAAAAGATATTAAAAGTGGAAAACAATAATGGGGATGTTTAACTAAGAGAAACCTTCCAACAATTTTAGGTATGTCTAACATGGAATTGCAGGATGTCAAACGTAACAAATTACTTGAAAAACATATATTAGCTACTTTAAATAGAAAGTCTCCAACAGATAATGCTAGAATCCATTGTGCAAACAGTACTAAAAAATTGGTATCCACAGAGCATGAGCTAGGCTAAAAATATTCCAAGACAACTTTAGAGATTATATCTCAACAATTAAAAAAACTCCATTTATTTTCCCCTTTTGAACATTAAAAAGAAGCAAGATCATAATATCAACTTAAATACAACACAACTGTCAATCGCACGTATCTCTTATCATTTCTAATCCACTAAATGCTTGGCTGTATTCACATTGTTCCATATGTACCTGGGCTTGCACTTTTGGTCAAAAATGAAAACAGATTTA